AAATTTCAAATCACCAATCTTTAAATATGAATGTCAATAATTGTGCTCCATTAAATTGAATATATTAAATAGAAACTGCATTTAAATGCCTTAATTTTATACAGGATGTCACCTGTGACCTTAGAGTTCCCTTAATATTTTGACTTTGAATGATTTTCATGTTATTAAAGACAGAGTGAGTTCACTATGAAAAGAAAGTGGAAATAATGATTATATGAAACATGCCAGTGCATAGGAATCACTGGGGGGTTGTTAAAAACTGCAGGTTCTGGGAACTGGTATTATAGATCAGCAGGGTAAGCAGAGGCTTCTCACACCAGTATTCCACATCAGAGCACTGGTTTGAGTACCGGTTGCAATGCTTCATATCCAGCTCCTTGCTAATACACCTGTGAAGGCAGCAGATGGTCCCCATGGGATTCAGGAAGAAGCTCCTGGCTCTTTGCTTCAGCCTCGCCTAGCCCCAGCCATTATGACCAATTTGGAGAATGGCCCATCGAGTGGATGTAAAAACTTTGGGTATGCATCTCCATCATTTACTGTTAATTCTGCCTTTAAAATAAAGAAATCTTTTTAAAAGAACAGTTCTAATTGATCAGGTCTGGGCCAGGATCTGGGATTGTGCATGTCTAACCAGCTCTTGGGGGACACAGATGCTGTGACATCCCCAGGCCACCGCTGGAGAGGTCAGGGTATAGAAGGTTTAGGAGATGGTCCCCAAGCTGGCTGGAGTATCATCCGATAGTCATGAACAGGCCGAGGCCACATAGAAAGCTGTAATCTTTTTGGATCTTCATGCCCCTTTTCTAGGATCTGCAAACTCCTGAGTGCCCACTCTGCTGTCTCAGCTTCATCTTTATTTTCTCAGTCTCCCTTTCTCTGCTTGCCCTCACCATTATGGAGGCCACTGTGACAGTGAGAAGCAAGTCTTCCACTTTCCTTATCCCAAAACTCAGACAGAGCTGTTGTGTTTCGGCCCCTGTAGATATAGATGTCCAGGAAGGGGAAAATCAAAGAATGCCAAATAGAGCCCATCCGAGAAAGCAATGAAGTTTTGATCCTTGTAGTTTTCCAATTAAGTCTTAGATTGTGACTCAACTGCCTTTACCAATTCAGTTTTCCATTCATTACTGATGGGTATTTTTATTTGCAGCCAAAGTTATTCTTTAACACCTCTGACATCTAAAAAGCTACAAAGCAGTTCAGCAGCCATTTAAACAAAATCACAGAGATATCACTGACATCCTAATAGCAAAAAATCAATTAATTAATTAATCAATGCATCATTGACAAAACTATGACTTATATTGCAAAACAGGAAAATATTGAAATTTTTGCACTTTTAAACAATTTATTTATTTAGAAGGCAAAGTGACAGGTCTCAGCGAGGTGGCCTAGCAGCTAATGTCCTCATCTTGAATACGCCCAGGATCCCATATGGGTGCTGGTTCTAATCCCGGGAGCTCCACTTCCCATCCAGCTCCCTGCTTGTGGCCTGGGAAAGCAGTCAAGGACGGCCCAAAGCCTTGGGACCCTGCACCCGCGTGGGAGATTACTGGAGGAATTTCCTGGCTCGGGGCTTCCAGCTCCGGATCGGCACAGCACCGGCAGTTGCGCTCACTTGGGAAGTGAATCATCAGATGGAAGATATTCCTCTCTGTCTCTCCTCCTCTCTGTATATCTGACTGTGTAATAAAAATAAATAAATCTTAAAAAAAAAAAAAGAAGGCAAAGTGACAAGGAGAGAAAGGGAAATACACAGAGAAGGAGAGATCAATCTTTCTTCTGCTGGCTCACTCACTAAATGCCCACAGTAGCCAGGGCTGAGCCAGGCCAAAGCCAGCAGTGAGGAAGTTCATCTAGGTTTCACACATGAGTTGCAGGGACCCAAGTACTTGAGCTGTGCTCTGCTACCACCCACATACAGTCCCAGCAAACTGGCTCAAAAGCAAAATAACTGAGACTCAGCAATTCAATAAAGGATGTAGGCATCCAGGTGGCTACTTAATGCACTGTGTCAACTTCTACTTTGGCTTTAACAAGGATTTCCCAGGCAGAACATAAAATCATCCTTTACTAAACAAACAAACAAATGGTAAGTTTAAACTTCATCAAAATTTTAATGCTTTGTCTCTCTGAAAAACACTTTTAAAGAAGGTTTTTTAAAAAAAAAGCTAGAGGAGTCAGCACACTGGCTAATTCTCCATCTGTGGTACCAGTATCCAACACCAGTTCTAGTCCCAGCTGCTCCACTTCTGATTCTGCTCCCTGCTAATAGCCTGGGAAAGCAGCAGAGGAGACTCAAGACCTTGTGAGAAACCTGGAAGAAGCTCCTGACTCCCAGCTTCAGGATGCCTAGCTCTGGCCGCTGTAGCCATTTGAGGAGTGAATCAGCAAATGGAAGATTAATCTCTCTCCTTCTCTCTCTCCTTTTTCCCCTCTCTAACTCTGAATTTCAAGTAAAATAAATAATTTTTTTTAAAAAGCTATAGATTGAGCAATCTTATACAGAATATATCCTATCATAGTTCCACAAAATCAACATGAATAACTTATAAAATGGGTGAACAACTGGGACACTCACTTTGTCAAAGAATGTACAGAATGTAAAGAGACAAAGAAGCATATAAGAGATGCTTAACATCATTAATCATTAAGAAAATAAAAATCACAACTAGAATGAGATATTAGTAAAAATTAAAATTGCTAAAATTACAAGGATAATAATACAAAGTCTGAAGAGACTGTGAAACAAATACAGCTTTCATATATTGAAATGCAAAACATCACAGTCACTTTGGAAACAATTTGAGGATTTTTTTGATTTGCTACTCTTCCTATAGGATGCAATAACCTCACACCTTTCCCATGAGCAATGAAAGCATATGTCCACACAAAGGCCTACTAAGGAATATTTGTGACAATTTTAAATCCTAGCAACCAAATCTGTCAATAAATCAATGCTTATCCAATGGATAAAGAAACTGTGGCCCACCATACAATGGTATTCTACTCAACAATAAAAAGAAACTAAATATTGGTACTTGCAACAGTATGGATTAATGTCAAAAATTTTTAAGTAAGTGAATGAAGCCTGAAACCAAAAGCTATATACTATGTTATTCCGTGTTTATGTTCTGGGAAAAGGGACATGCGATGGCAGCAATCAGATGGTGGTTCTCAAGAGCTGCAGGTGGGGAAAGGTATCTGGATATGTTCTATGACTTGATCATGATAGTGGTTACATGACTCTATAGATTATATTTGACAAAGCTTTTGCAACCACATTAAGTGGAGTAAAATTTTTTCTGTGTCAATTATACCTGTGTAGCTCTAACCAAAATAAAGAAACAGATAGTCTTATGACAAAGGATGGTGCCTGGTCATGGATATTCACATAGATTAACAACTAATTATAACACACACAGACACACATACACATTATTATGATAAGATCAATTCCATACGTATTTTAAATTAAAATATAGAGATAAAACAATACTGCTTTTAGAAGAAAACATAAGATATATTTATGCTCTTGAAATAAGGCCAACATTCTCTAAAAAGAATGCACTAATACCTATCACAATGAAAAAATGGTAATTTACACTATTTCAAGGATATTTCTATTCACAAAAAGTAACAAAAACATAAAGTCTTTTAAAAAGGGGTGATATTTGCAACACAAGTACCTTGTCAAGTTCTGAATCCTTAGTACATAAATCCAACTAAGTAAAAAGATAATGTAATAAGAAAGACAACTCAAAATTCTTCACATTTTTTAACACACACAAGATTTAACACAAGAGATAGATAGATAGATAAGCACACATATATAACTGTCATTTAATATACAAAAGGTGTCTGATTTCAAAAGTATCTGATCAATATTAAAATAAATGAAATATTGCAACATTATAAATACAATATTAAATGCATATTTAAAATAAATGTATATTGAAATAAACTCAAATTAAAACTACAATATGTTGCTTTTCCATACTTACCAGGAGATCTTAAAACAAAAAATTAAACAAGGAAAACACAAAATACATTGCGTTAGTAATGAAATCACACCTCTCACTTACTCCTGTTGAGAGTACAAATTTTAGATTGATATATTATCAATTACACATTAGCAATTTTACTTTGATAGTATCCTCTAACCTGTATATATGTCTGCTCTGGAATACAGGCATTCCCTGCTTGTATGCATATCCAACTGAAATCTGCATGTACAGTCAAAAACATAGATGGGCAAAACTGACTCAAGAAGAAATAGAAAACCCTATTTGGGGTTTCTATTTAGCCCAAAAACAAAATATAATTTAGTGGGTAACAATTCTTCTCTCAAGGAAACTACCAGACTGTCTGCTGTCAAGTTCAACCATACATTCATGCAGCAAATAATTCAAAACCATGCCTAACAATGAAAATTTTAACCAATCTCCCTAGGACTAACTCAGGCAAGTGTACTAGCTAAGTGCAAAAGGATAATGCATTATGACTAAGTTGACTCTATCTTAGCAATGCATGGTAGCTTAATACTCAGAGATAAATAAATGGAAATAGATCACCACTCACAAATGAAAGGATAAAAATCAGTTGATCACTTCAGCAGGCATATGAGTAGATAATCATTAAGCAAAACCCCAACACCTGTTTGTGACTTTTAATTAAAGTAAAAATAGAAGAGAAATTTGTACCTTGACAGAGTATTACAAAACATCTCTAATGAATGAACATATCATGATTAAATTTGCCTGCTGTTAGATATTTAAATTCTCTTTGCTTTATTTTGGTATTGTGGTAAACCTCTTCATAGTGCTCATTGAGTTGGATAACTCATCTGTGTTTCATTTTCCTAACAAAGAAGATGGAAATAGCACCTAACTCACAGGGCCATGGTAAGGGTTACATCTAGTGTTCAATGTAAATCTTAGGAAATCTTGGAAGAAAAACACAGTTTCTAAATCTGAGAAAAGTTGCTCTGTGTTTACCTGTCGGTGTATCTGTCCCAGTGCACCAAAGGCTCAGATCAGAAGCCAGCTACTCTGTCAAAGATAAAGAAAGGCATTGGCTTAGATTCACAGGACATAAGGCTATCACCTAGGAAGAATGCAGTTAGTGATGAGACTGACCACTCGCCCCATGAACCCCTCTAGTGAGATGCCATTTGCCCATCCCAGTTTCCATGCTATAATCATCACCTGTGTAGGACTCCTACCACGTTCCCCTCATCTGCTCAGGACTACAGCACCTCAACTCTGCACTGCAGGCAGCCATACAACCTAAGCACAGTGTTCTTCTCCTGAAAACCAGTTTGTCACCCTTCTGGCTCTTCCCAAATAGGCTGAGCTTAGTGTCGTGGGTTGCACATCTCCCATCACACATGCTCATCGACTTCTGTTACCTTCACTCTGTGCATACTCTAGGCCCTGGTTTCTTCCTCAGCTCCTCCTCACGCCTTGACACCTGCCAGTCTCCATACACATGGCCCCTCTGTCCACACTGACTTCCCCCTTCCATGCTCTCCTGCACTGAAGTCCTGCTTGATGGTTCTTGTCCCACATTAGAACAGAGACACTTCAACCACTTGGTCAGTCGGCCTTGACCAGCCTCATTCCCCTGTGCATGCGCCAAAGAAGCAGGCACTCTCTTGTGACATGCAACAAAGTAGCCTCAAATTTGTTGTGGGAAAAAATAGAATTAAAAGTATTTATTTATTTGGATGCACACAAAAAAAAATTGAAACCCCTGCTTGCTTTTCTCTCCTTTTTCATAACACATATTTTCCATGAGTTTCTTTGACAACCCTTCATATCTATGTAGACCTTCTGAGGCCAAAGGTCATGTCTTTCTTGTTCACAAACATTTATTCAACCCCTCAGCCTTTCAGAACACACTTAATAAACCTTTTTTTGAGTATAAGAATTAATAAAACTGGGGCTGGCACTGTAGCTCAATAGGCTAATCTTCTGCCTACTAATGCTGGTATTTCATATTGGTGCCAGTGCATATCCCAGTTGTTCCACTTCCCATCCAGTTCTCTGCATATGGCCTAGCAAAGCAACAGAGAATGGCTCAAATTCTTGGGCCTCTGTACCCACATGGGAGACCTGGACAAAGCACCTGGCTCCTGGTTTTGGATTGTCTCAGTTCCAGATGTTTCAGCCATTTGGGGAGTAAATCAGTGGATGGAAGATCAATCTATCTCTCTTTCTCTCTGTAAATCTGCCTTTCTAATAAAAATAAATATATTTTTAAAGACTTAACAAAACTGATTATCAGTCTTTGATTTTCCAGCTCATCTTTTGATTCATACTGATAATTTAATAGGCTTTTTACTTCAAGATCATATTTCATTGATTTTGAGATATCACTGATTATAGGAATAACTATTTTTTGTATAATAATATAAAAAATGATGGCATGCTGAGCTGTGATATAATGCCATGTTAAATTTTTTATTTCAGCCTTGTTTAGACATGGATTTAGATGGAATCCATACATAAAGGGAAATATGAAAGTATGAGATACACGTTGGTCAGGCTTCCCTCTCTCAGGGCACTGGTGTTCCCAGGCAGGCCCTCATTACTGTGCACACAGTATTGTGTTCCTTGCCACTGGGATCTTTCTGGGTGCTGCCTGGAAGCAGCAGCTCTTAGAGGAGCATTCCAGCACCTTCCCTGGGATTTTCTCCTGAGCTGCTGGCATCTTTCCACAACAACTGATGTTGGCAAGCAAACCCGACTCCAGTGACAGCAGAAAACTTCAGCAACACCTAAGGCTCATATGCCCTTCCCAAATGGTCATTAAACCAAATACTGATGAAAACAATCAAGGGATTTCAACTGTCCTCTCCTCCAGCCAGAATTACCCATGCACAGGTATTTGCAACTATTACATAACTATACCTGAATGATGGCAACAAAAAGGTGGTTTGGGCTGTACAACACCTTCACGCTATTCAAGAACAAAGCAACCCTTCAAGAACTGCATTTGAATATACAGTGGCTTCTGAGAAACTTTCTAGAATCTCTGGATGCATGGTGCTGACCACAGTGGTCACCATCTGTTCCTTTCTAAATGGAGAGACAACACTGCACTGCACAACACCTGTACCTTGGTCGCAGCCATTCATTAAACTGACTTCCAACCAAGCAGCCTGAGGCATTAGAGCAATGTCATGCTGGGCTGGGACAGTACTCTCTGAGTGCTAAGCATGTGGGCTTAGCACGAAACGCATTTGGAAAAAAACAAAAATCAGATTTCAGAGGAAAACATGTCTTGGTTTCTCTCAAATGAGTTTTATTATTTTCAAGAGGCTTTAGCAAGGGGAGGGAGACTCTCAGTAACTTCTGGCAAATCACAGACTAGAAGGAGGAGGGGATGCTACCATTCTGCCATTGTTGTAAGGGGAATCTTGCCAAGGCAGAGAACTGAGAACTCACTGGCAGCAACAGCTTACCTGCTCTATGTACATGAAATTTTTCTCATCTGTGGCACTGCCAGGAGTGTGCAATAAGAGGATTAGCAAGGTCCCTTTCAGCTCTAAGAAAGGTTGGAAGAAAGGAACGTTCCAATTCAGAGTCCAAGGTCTTGCCCTTGGAAATGAGAGAAAAGGAAGCCTAGACATGAACAGCTCTCAGGATTATAGTATGACAAAACACAGAATAGAAGGGCTCCAGGGCTTGGGTCTCTCTGGCGCCATGACACACACCAGTGCCATTCCATCATGCATGATTCCATCCCATTGGGCTGTTCCATGCAACTCACAGAGGGCCAGGCCATAAAAGGAACTCTCTTCTGTGGCCACTTGGTTAACACTGTGCAGTGCTACACCTGACATAGCTCTAGATGAAAATATGACAGCTTGCCACTTTGTCAAGTGCTGAGTCTGACACTCACTGCTCATCGCCCAGAGTCCTTGCAAAGAACTCCAGATGTTGCCCTTGTATATTTCACGAGAAACTGAATGTGGGAAAGGAAACTGAACATAGCAAGCTATCAAACTGTTTTCACAAACACACCAACATCTATGTACATATCCAGCAACAACATTTTCAAAATGATAACAAAGTCAAATGGAGCTCAAACACGCAGAAAAAAAAGGAAGGCTGTCCTAAGTAATGCTGAATAAAGCCATCTGTTGGCTGTAAAAAAGGAAGCGTTCCCCGAATATTTGCCTGTTTCCAGCTCTTTTCATAAATGCTATGGTAGCATATCAAAACTATCTGGAGTGAACTTCATCAACTTCAGCAAATATGAGTTTATTGGTCACTTAGGCTGGGTGTCCTGCAACTGCATGGCACTCAGCAAGGGCAAATTCAATTCACAATGCACTGCCCACACAGGCCCCACCCCTTTCTATCCCTTCTTTTCTCCACATTGGCCAGACACCTCAACCCTATTGCTCCTTCCTCATTCTCCTTGTCTCACCAAGGACCAAATCCTATAGCAACATCCCATCTTCTGGTGTTCATCCCTGTCGTGATGGCCTCAGACCAAAGCATCACCTGCCATTCCCTGGACAAGTGCAAGATCCTCTAGACTGCAGCATCTTCAATGAATTCTTCCAGCCCATATCTTCCTCATTTACATTTCATATGTCGCCCCTCACTCATAGACCCCTTCAAGGGCTCCCTACTGCCTGTGGAAAGAGACCAGAATTCAACACAGCGCCCCACCTTCATCCCTTGTTCTGGCCTTGTCCACTTGCACCCAGTTTTCCAGGCATGATATTCAGATCTCCAGGTCCTCACCAACCACTTCTTCCTCCATGTACAAGAGCATATCTAGCAATTCCACTCCTTTCAAGATGCAAACTCCTTCCCCCAGATGATATAGGATTTGTCCCTTCCACTCTTGTTTCACCAGACAGCACCGTTCTCTGCTCAGCTCCAGCTGCACCAACCCTTTTCGAAATCTCTTTCCCTCTTCCCAAAGTTACTTCCACAAAGGGGCACTCCTTGCCAGTTGTTCTTCACTCTATTCACTAAAATTTGCTCATTGTCTTCATTACTTTTTTCTGTTTTTTGTTTTAAAGATTTATTTTTATTATTTTTTATTGGAAAGGCGGATATACAGAGAGGAGAGACAGAGAGGAAGATCCTCCGTCCGATGATTCACTCCCCAAGTGAGCGCAACAGCCCATGCTATGCCAATTGGAAGCCAGGAGCCTCTTCCGGGTCTCCCACGCGGGTACAGGGTCCCAAAGCTTTGGGCCGTCCTCAACTGCTTTCCCAGGCCACAGGCAGGGAGCTGGAAGGGAAGTGGGGCTGCCGGGCCAGAACCGGCGCCCATATGGGATCCCGGGCGTGCAAGACGAGGACCCTAACCACTGCACCGCCGTGCCAGGCCCTTTTTTTTATTTTTGAAACACAAGGAAACAAGGATTCTTCCCATCCTCTGGTTCATGCCACAAATGTAAACAAAAGCAGTGGCAAGTTCAGGTTAAAGGCAGGAATCTGCAAATTAACCCAGGTCTCCCATATGTGTGTCAGTAACTCAACTACTTAAGTCATTGCCTTCTCCCTCCCACAGTACCCACTAGCAGAAAGGTGGGATCAGAATCAGAGCCAGAACTCAAGCCCAGGCATCCTAATAGCACATGCAAGGACCCTAAAAAACATCTTAACTGCTGCACCATCCATTTCCCCTGATCTTCATTCTTTAACTACAGCTCAACATGGTTCCTTAACAAAGATCACCCTTGACCTTCCTCAAAGGAAATTTGATCTTTATGCCACCTGCCCTGCAGCCCACTACTGTTCTTCATTTTATTTGTCACAAAGGTGGTTATATGTTTGTGAATGTGGTTGCTGTTTTAAAGCTCCACACATCTTCAATGGATATTCACATCTGTGAAGTAGAGATGATTCAGGTTCACGGTTATTCCCAGGGCTAACAGAAGCCTACTGCTCAGCGCAAGTTTTAGAAATTAATGCATAAGAACTATAGCTGCATTTCCTCTAGGAAATACCTTCTCCCTCCCACCAGGCATGAGACCACTGCTTTTGTCGCAGCTCAGCTATGCCTTGAACATATTTGA